AGATGTAGAGGGGATAGTTCATACATTACTGGATCTTATTAAGTCCGCTGCGTTTTCTAAAATATTTTTACAAAAAATTAAAGTCAGCGAGGAAGAAATCTCATCTATCAAAGGGCCATTGCACACTACATCTAATGATCATATCCTGGCATTGTTTAAATCACTGTTTAGAATTCGTGGGGTCAGAGAGGGTAGGCGTTAATCACTTTAAAGCCTTTATTGATATATAATTTATATTGCCAGTCGAACAAAAATCAAAAGGCGTTGAATCATATAGTCTGAATTGGGAATTTGATTAGAAGGCTACTTGATGTAAGATGAACGTCTAGAGTCTTCGTACTGTTAAAGCAGTTTAGAGCTGTATACGCATTTTAAAAATAGCAAATCTAGCAACAGTGCAAAATTTAACTGGCCGTCCACCCGGTTAGAAAGTGATCAATTTTTATCAGATCTCGCTTTGATATATGATGTTCATTCTGAATTATCTAGTCTGTCTTTAAGACTTCACGCAAGAAATCAGTTTAACTAACTCTAAAAAATCAATAAAGTGAATGATTCGTGTTCTAAAATCATTTAAGGGTAGGCCTGGTAGGTTCTAGATTTCTTTTATAATTAAATATTTATTTGATATTCAGTAGCCTGCGAATCAGATTATTCCTTAATTTCTTTTGTTAAATGACTTTTTTTACATAAATCAATTTTATATCTATACTATTTTATTCATAAAATAAATATTTATAAATTAAATTATAGCCAATATAAGGTTAACTATCATATTGAAAACAATAGAATCTTAATTTTTAAAATTGCTCGTCTATAAAATTACAAAAAGTGTAGATGGAATAATCTAATTTTCATGCAACGATTTCTAAAACAGATATGAAAATATCTCGAGAAGCTAAAAGAAAACAGAAGTCACTCTGATATCAACAAAAATCAATTATTATTATTCTGATAATTTTATTAATTAAAGATATAATATATTAAATTATACTATCGGTCTGATATGGAATATTTAAAAAAATATAAAAATAAGAGATTGGCAGTTCTTTGTACCAAATAGTACAGTGGGTTAGGGGAAAGAATCGGTTATATTTAGAAAAAGATAACTGGCTAGCAGACCTTCCTTATATTCATACTGAAGTCCGACATGGATCTTGCAATAAATGAGATCACGGAGAGTTTATTGATGATAATAATGAAAGTAATAAACACCCTCTTATTTGAAAGAGTTTCAAAATTGTATAACACAATTCCGAATGATACTTATAAATGTGAGAGCAGCTTTGACCTTATAAATGTCATTATGACGGATTTGCTTACAAGCATGCTAAAACATACTTCCAGTTTAATGATGATAAGCGTTAACAACCTCTTCTCAGTCAGTGGAATTCTCCTCCATATATTAAAAAGTGGTTGATAATCACAGGTCAGCATATAATAATCAATCAAGGAAACATGCAGTTAATATTATTAAAAATATTGAAAATATTCGCCATGGCGAATATTGTAATTTTTTTCACCTTTTATTGATCAATTCCGATATATACATTTTATATTAAAATATAATTATTTTTATACAATTATGAAATGCATTCTCCAATTTTTATATAACTTTCCAAATAGCTATTTTATATAGTATAAATGTAATGTATTTTATATGAAATGCTTCAATATAAACTATACAAAAAATAAATAAAAATTTTCAAAGAAAGAAATTTGCCTCAAATTCTTGGAAAAACAAAAATTCGTCTCAGGACTACAATACTGTATACCTGGGAATGCATTTTAAAAACATTCTGATCATATGTAATATATGTTTATGACATGCTATTTTGACTTATGTAGAATTTTATGCAAACTAAACTGCATCTTATTGAATGAATAATTCGTCAGTCAACGTAAGTATTATTACGTTATTGGATCATACATAGCATTTAATTCATTTATTGTTTGTAGCAAGGATTGTAATTAAGAATTGACAAAGAAACAAAAAACCGACCTGGGAATGCATTTTAAAAACATTCTGATCATATGTAATATATGTTTAAATGCGATGACATGCTATTTTGGCTTATGTAGAATTTTATGCAAACTAAACTGCATATTAATGAATGAATAATTCGTCAGTCAACGTAAGTATTATTACGTTATTGGATCATACATAGCATTTAATTCATTTATTGTTTGTAGCAAGGATTGTAATTAAGAATTGACAAAGAAACAAAAAACCGTATCATCTTTTTTAATTGCATAAATGACTTTATAAATAAAAAATTCAAAAACATCATAATAATTAAGAAATATTATTAATTGTAACAGCTCTTAATTAATTCACAATTATTTTCTTAAATAAGTATTAAAATATAATCTCATTTAAATAATGATATTATATGTGTTCATTAATTTTTTTATATTATTAATTATTTATTATTTGGAGATTGGGAATTTTCATTTTTAATTGCATGACAAATTTATATCAAAAAGAAAGAGAAATGTAATAGTAATGTTTTTAATATATATTAACTTCGATGTGTTTTTTCCATAGTTTGAAAAAAATCCTCAAATTTTTATCAAGAATAAATTTTTAATCAAATTTTACTTAAAAATGACAAAATCTTTTTTAATAAATCATCTATAAGTAAATCTTTCATAATTGTCAGGCATAAAAAATAGAAAATCAAAAATTTTTTTCTTATTTTTTCAACTTTAAATAATTTTCTCTAGGTAGGTTTTTTAAATTTTAAAAATGTGATTATGCTAGAAATATATTCCAGCATGTATAGAATCCTAATTTCTGATTTTTATAAAATTTTGCCATAAAATTTTTACCTTAATATAATTTATATATTTTTTTATATATAAATTATAAATGTCTCAAAAGTTAACGGCGAAATTTCTCAAATTCGTAGGGTAGGTAAGGTTATATTACGCGTTTTAAAAAAAATTTAAAATCTTATTTTCCCGGAAATATATTTCAGCATGTTTAGAATATCTATCTTATGAATTATAGGCAATTTTACTGGAATCTTCCAGTCATTATAATTTATATAAGAAATATATGTAAAAATTAATATAAAATTATATTAAGTTTAATAGTTCATGCCAAAATTGTCTGAAATTCAAAGAGTGGGGAATACATTTTTGGTAAAATAGGATTCATAAATTTAAAAAAAATGCTCAAAAAATGACTTAAAGTGGAAAAAAAAACTCATTGCCCCAAAAAACACATTGCTGCTAAGATATATAAAGATAAGAGGGTTTGTAATTTAAAAATAAAATTTTTCTCAAAAAACATATATAATTCTACCTTCTTCAGCCGTTAAAAATATACAAAAGGTCTGACCCCGCACGTTAAATTTTTTCGAACGAATTTTTAGGCCATCATATTTTTAATTAACTATCTCTAAATTTTTCCTAATGCCAATTAAGGCTCTTATATCTCTCTTCTATGGCTATCTATTTTTATACAACAACTGTTTTATAAATCAATTTTGCTTGATATCTGTTTTGTGCATTTGTAATTGGATCGTATCATGAATAAAAAATTTAATATTCCGTGAATTTACTATAATATTTATAGATTTAGTGTTTTAGTTAAAAGCTCTTATAATACAAAGAAATAAGTATATATTGTCATTTATTTTTAAACATTATTAATCCAAATGTTAGCTTGAAATTTAAAAAATAAACATGCAAAAATTTATTGCCCGGGCTGGCCTATTAAAATTTTACGAAAAATCGAGATTTGCGAGGCACTGCCTTGTATGCATAAATTGTCCAACCAAATTGGAAAATTTTTTATCGATGAACTGTTCGGCTCCACAAATTTTTTGGTAGGCTCTGTCCTTTTTAAATTTTTTTAAAAATTCCAACCTGGACTGCACTGGTTTATTGACAGACCGAGACAGGCTTTGCAGATTTCTAATATGTATTGTATAATAATATACTGGGAATTTTGGAGGCTTAGGTTGATTTTAAAAACTGAGTCATAATAAAATATCTCTTATACTTCAATATGACTTAAATATAAATTCAATTTTGGTTAGCCTCAAAAATGATATATTAAAATTTTGAAATTATTTTTTGACTAAAAGACCCAAAATTAATTTAATATTTACTTTTAAGAGATTAGCTTTCTTCAAATTCATTTATTATTTTGTCATCTAAAGTATTTTATTAGCACACACTATTATTAATATTAATAGGATAATTGGGATAAGTTTTTCTAAAGATTATCTTAAGTTTTTCTCTTGATAAATATCAATGACCTGCAGGCCCAGCCCGCGTCTAGGGGTCGTACTGCGGGTCTGGCCATATTTTAATTTTTTTAAATACACCTAGGTCGGGCTCAAAAATTTTAAATACCCGAGCCGGGCCAGGCCATATATTTTAAAATCGGATATTTTAAATCGCCATATTAGCTATAAAAAGTAAAAATAAATGTAATATATTTTAATAAAATCTGGATGGGGCCTAAAAATTGATAAAAAAATCCGGGATTAATTTTACAATACTAAACCATGCCCTGCAAATGGTACCTCTGCAGGTCTCTGACAATAAAGCAATAAGTAGTTTAAAAAAAAACTAATAAAAGAAAAATCTATAAAGATACAAATACAATATTACATAGTATACTTACACCGAAAGTAATTAAGCCATATTTTACTATTTTTTAAAAATATTTCTTAAACTTGTTTTTTATGATTTCTTTAGAAAAATAATTTAAAAAATACTCTTAAACCATAAATTTATTTTTAAATATACATTCTTATCGGAAAATAATTGATCCACAAAGACAAATGATTTTCTAAAACATAAGAAGTTATAAATAAAAATTGATATTTTTAAATATAAATATTTTTTTAAAAAAAACAAAATTAATTTTTTTCAATAAACGCATATTTTTATAAAAAATATTATTTAATATTTTTATAAAAAATATTATTTAATATTTTTAGAACAAATAAAATATTAATTTTTTTTGGACAGACAAATTTGAAATAATTTATTTTAAAAATTTTTGAACAAAAAAATTAAGAAAAATTTATAAATATAAAAAAAATACAATGAAAATTTACTTGAAACTAATTCACAGGGTATTGATATTGTTAATGATTATAGAAGCAAAGATCAAATATGTCGACAGCAGATACCTTCCCACCCGAAGCAAGGACGCGGTTGAAGATATGAGGACTTTATTCCACGCGGTAAAAATAAATCTACTAATTTCAAAGTCTATTTACTTAAAGGTATCAAATTATAACTATAGGCGTAACCAAGGGATGGAGAAGTAAGAAAATTTCGACCCATTGGAAATTTACCTATTCTCGCAAATATCATTTTAAGCTAAGAAAGTTCCCCTCTCCTTTTTAAAAACGGCGAACTCAATATTTTAGACAGAAAGATATTGCCCACTCGAGATTTCGTTAAATAGATATCTAAACCTTTGTGCCATTTATGATAAAAATCTTCAGGTTAGCATAATATTTATCTGGATAGATAAAATACTGAGTTAGCCGTTCGGCTAAAATGGAGCGATTTGCTATAAGCAATATTTCGGAAGAAAAATATGTTGAAGTTACTAATTTTTTTAAAAATACCGGCAATAATTAAAAAATTTTAGGAAAAAACAGCAAAATTGAAAACCCCATGTTATTTTTATAAAAATATAAAATTTACAAAGGTTTACACCAGGGATCTAGACCGAACCCGCACTTGGACCACTGGTCCCGGGTTATTCCTTTTATTTTCAATTTTTATTTTTCTTGTTTATCAAAATATTGTTTGTATTTACAAACGCGTATTTATGGAAATAAATTTTTTTTAAAATACTCACCTATCCTCCAATTTACCCTGCATTAACAGTTAGCTTAATTCGCGGCGTAGTATATAAAAAAATACACAAAAATACGGCATATTTTGTATATACTTCTTTGCGAATTTGTGCTAACTGTGTGAATGCAGGTAATTAATAAGTTTAATAAAATATATAATTAGTCAAATGGAATACGTAATTTTACAAAAATATAAAAATGGACATACTAAAATATCTTCCTTCCTCTAAGATTTCATTAATAATTAATAATATTAAGTAACCCGAAACAAAGGCATTTCCGGGTAAAATTTTTTTTTAAATAATCGAAATTGAATAAATCCTTTAAACTAATAATCAAAACTGAACTGAACTCCCAGATATAACACTTTGAAAAACCGGATAAGGAAGTTATATCCACTAATTTCTATTATATTACATTTTTTTTAAAAAAACAACTGTATTTAAGATCAAAGAAGGTAGAGTGAATTTTTCAAATCGGAATTCGCCCATATATTCGGAGTCCTCTATGAGGCGAAATGAATTCTTAGAAGAGGCAAACCCCATAGGTTTCGGACAAGGGTTAGAAGTTGACCCATTGCAGAATATGCTATTTTTGGATCATAAAGGAAGGCGGTACACTTGTCAAGTATATACTTATAATATAGCATAACCTTTTCATCTCTAAATTATTTTTCTAAATTTAGATAGATTAATAATATTATAGAATTAATATCTTTTTCATAAAATTACTTTTAAAATTTTGATTAACATTCTTCTAGTTTTATAAACATATAAAAAAAATCCTTTTAATATTTCATAAAAATTTTAACGCATGCTTTTAAATCTTAAACATTTTAATGAATTCAAGAACGGATATAAAATTTTTGGTCTATCAGTGCTGTAATATCTTTTGGGATAGTTTGAAAGTAATGCTTCCTAGTAATGTAAAATCGCTCAGTATTAACCGCTAACTCAGTATTTTATCCAGAAAAATTTTACGCAAGCCTAATTTTGCTTATAGATGACACAAAGGTTTGGACATCTATTAACAAAATTTCGAGACTTAGGCGATATTTTTCTGGCTAAAATATTGAATTCATTATTTATTTATTTAAAAAATCGGTTCAAGTGGAGCGATTTTGCACTATGGTGCGATTTTTCTTTACTTTGCGAGGAAAAAAATCTTGATTTTGGATCGGTTGGTAGATGAGTATTACAAAACCTTTTGGAGTAGTTTGAAATGAAATGTTAATCCTTTTTAAGAGAGAGTAAAGTTAAAATAAAATATAAAAAAAACGAAATCTTTTTATTCAGTTCACGATGTTTAAAAATTTGACTATTTTGGGAAAATTGACACTATCAATTTTAAACTACTCCAAAAGATTTTGTAATACTCGTCTACCAACCAAAGTTTTATATGCGGTACATTTTAAAAGCAGTCTAGCGCCAACTTGTCTTAAAATTTTTATTATAAAATGAAAAACTATTTCTTATATTTTTTTTTATTTCGTTATTAACTAAAAAAATGTTAAATTATGCAAATGATTTTTAGATAAAGATGATATAAATTATTCTATATAATATAGTTTAATTTTTTCAAATTTATTTTAAAATAATAATTCATTGACCATTTTAAATTTCATAAAATGAATGGCAAAAAGGCTACACCTAGTAATAAAAAAAATTCCAATATTAAATATATTTGGTAATGATATATAGCGTTGAACGTAATTGACTTTTTTTATATTTTTAAATTAAAATATTCGAACAGCGTCGTAATTTTATCCTTATATACATAAAAAAATTGGTGCTTTAGAATGGCGTCTGGGGCTTAGTCATTGAGTGCATATGTCACCTGACGTATAGATCTAGGTTCAAATCCAACAATGACCGGGTGTTCGGAAGCCAACTAGATGGTTCTATGCTACGAGGATATATAGAATATCAAAAGCTACTACGTGTATGGGGTCCCTTTAATATATATCAGAGACCTGCAGAGGTATTTTCATGGCTCGGTCCGAATCTCATATTTTTCAGACTCGGCCGCAAAAAATTCAGGCCCAGCCCGGATTTTTATAATGTATTATATTTATTTTTAACTTTTATGGCTAATATTGACGATTTAAAATATTTGGTTTTAAAATATACGGCGCGGCCCGGGTATTTTTTTAAAAAAAAATTTTAGACTCTGCCTGGGTATATTTAAAAAAAATTAAATTATGAGCCGCCCATGTACCCAGGCCGGGCCTGCAGGTCTCTGATATATATTAAATTAAAGTGGGGCTTATTGCATTTTAATAAATTTGGTCCTTTTTTAGCAAATTTGATTGTCGTTAAGCAAATCGCTATATGATAACCAACGCCATACATCAATACCCACATTTTTTAGGTAGTTTTTTTTAATTGTCAATTTTTTATTACAAAATTTAGAAGATTTCGGCCTTCAACATTAACAAGAAATAATCTCCATTGCCTCAATATTAACACAAAAAAAATACTAGACTATTCCAAGAAATAAATTATAATATTGTGTTTTTTTAATTTTACCTTTAAATTATTTAATACAAGTCACACTTATTATATAACTATTTATGAATTGGTCATTATTTTTTAATATTTTATAAAATTTTACTTAAAAAAAAGTTTTTTATGATTTTATTTTCCTTTCAAATAAATTTATACGGTTTACGGCTTCTAAATTATTTCATATGAAGAAAAAATTTGTTAATTTTTTTTTTTATAATTATTTAGAAAATCAATTCAAAATTGCCTACACACAAAAATAGTAAATAACTATTTTTTTAAAAATATAGTATTCAATTCAATTTATTTTAAAAAAGGAGACGAGCTATAAGGAATTCCTAATTTATTTTAATAAGAATAAAAAAAAAGCTCTATGCCAAATTAGAATTTACATCACTTTAAAAAAACCAAGATTTTCCTTGTTGATAGTATAGGCAAACGGAAATCTCCCCTCATTTCAGAAATTCGCTTATTCTTGTGGATATTATTATAAGGCTAAACTCCTACCCCCCCCCCCATAATGTATACAATAAATCACTACAAACAACAATTTAAAAGAAAAACAAGTAAAAGTTAATCATATTTAAAATAACGATTAGAATTCGAATTTTTTTTAAAAAAAAGGCATTTTTAAAGTGAAAACCCAGATTTATTTTTATAAAAATATGCCTACAATAAGTGCATCTAAAGAAGCTTATGGGGTAAAGAAAGCCCTATTTAATAGTACCCCCCCACACACACAAAATCCTCGCTGCAATTGTGTTAAATATTAATTTAATTTATAATTACATATTTTATTTATAGTGGTTGACTAAAATATTCATTACAATTTACAAATATCAAATCTAATTTAATTAATAATTGTAAGCTTTGTAAGCTTTTAGAAAACATATCACTATTGATAAATCCTAAATATTTATTATCATTCAAAAATAAATTGACTATTTGATTCTTTTTGAATAAATCAATCAAGAGGATGCCATCAATTATATTAGAGAATAGTGATGTTTATTATCATATCATTACCTTGGCCTGAATATGACAAACATTCTCAGGTTATAAAAGATATACAAAACAAATATTTTACAATCTGAAGTAATCTTTATTCTCGCAAAACAAAGTTAATCTATACTTCAACTTCAAGGATTCAAACATAAAAAAAAATACTAAGTTGTAATGTAAAATATCTTTCTATATTTCAATTCTATACCTAAATATTTTTTTTAGATAGTATAGATAAGGGTTTACATAAATAGATTCCAACACCTTTCAGAAAGGCAAAAGCATAAAATACATATCAAAATCAATTAAACAAGTGGAACTGGAGGAACTTATATTATCATTTACTCATCTTTTTTTCTTTCATTTGTATGAGGGAAAGGAGCGCTTTTTTCATAATAGCGCTTAACATTTTGGGTAACGCTTTGGTAATGGCGTTATCTTTAGAAAAAGTGATGTAAACGTAAAGATACAATTATACTTTATTTACAGAATGACACAAAAATACTTTTTTGTGCATTATCGTTACATTATTGAGTTAAGTTACAGCACTAATTAAAAGAATCCTCACACTATTAAAAATCAAGTATATTTAGTAGAAATAATATTAATTAGACATAATTATTCGTAAAAAATCCCAGATGTTAGGACATTAAAAATATTATAAAATATTAATATCTTCTTTAAAAATAACTGAAAGGGACATTTTTTTTTAACATTAAGATTTGGCCATAAATTCTTGTTAAAAAAATATTGTAAGCGTAATTGGCTTATAAAAACTAAAAGGAAATATTTTAAAAGGATTTTTTTTTAAAAAATATAAATTCAATGTAAGTGGGTAAAATATGAATTTTAAATAAAATTTCAACTACTTGCCAAATTTAAACATTTCTTTGTTTTACCTAAACCCTAACCTCTTATGATCAAGGTTAGCCTATATTGGTGACCGGCACATGGAATCTTTGAAAGATGTTAAAGCCTAGTTCGTAAATATATTTTGATCTTTCGAACTCGAACCGCGATATGCCAATCACTAGTCTATATGATATGGCTACGGTTAGATTAATTTATTTAATGTTCAAATTGAACAAGTACATGAAATTGTAAAAAATTTTATATACAGTCACAATCTACCCACTCACCGAAATGATATCTTTCTTCCTTTTATATTCTTTCCAAATTAAATGCAAGCGATAAAAAGAATGAAATTAAATCAAAAAAAGATGTATTGCATACAAATCATGAGAAATAATTCAAAACAATAAAATAAAAAGTATTTATGCTGGGTAAAAAAAATGATTGGAAAGGTATATCTAAATAAATTTTCATTTAATTTACTTCGAATCTTAACCATTACTTCTAATATATTTTTCATAATTGGGAACGAGAATTAGAATCGGCCCGATAAATTTTCTTTCGAGTCTTATCGGATCGACTATAATTATTTCACCCTGCCTGTTAATTATATTTAGCTCAAGTTGTCCGGTCTGCCCCATAATAATTTTTTATGAAAGAAAATGACACAAATTTGCCTAATTATCAGCTTTAAACATTTTCAAATAAATCGCCGGACCGTAAATTTGGAACAATTTGTCTGGTCCAGCGGCCGATCTTTGAACCAGATTTCGGTAAATATTTAATAAAGGTAGGCCAGTAATAATTAATTGCGTAGAAGTTGCGTCTAGATGACTTTTTCATTCACTTCTTCAATGTTAAAAATGGCCTCTCATTTGTACATATGGTGATGGACCGCTTAAATCATTAACAAATTTTTAACATTTGTCTTGAAACATAAATGCCGCTGAAAGTTTATTAGCGCCTATATGAAATTTTTATGACTTAGGCTTAATAGCACTATAACTATTTTAAGACGATTTAGTTTTTTAGTACTTTTAATATTTTATAGCCAACAGGGCCACGGAGGGGGTGAAATATTTGGCCCCCAAACATAGTCCCCTGAAAAACTTTTGTCCCATGGCCGCCAAAATTTCCGGCCCCCAAATTAAAAAAAATTATTACTTAATTTAATCAATTAACAATTAAATCTAAATAAAAATACAACAAAATTTTTAAAAAAAGATTATTTGTTTAATTTATACAAATTAATAAACAAGAATATACCTATAAAAATATTAAATTTAAAATATCTATCGACTAATTAGTCGCCTATTAAATGAATTTTGATGAAAGGAATTTAGCAATTGGGAAAAAGTGTTAGCTGCAAAGAAGGGACTGCTATATCAAAAGCTTAAATTTAATAACAATATGGCATGATAAAAAACCTAATATTTATAATTAAACTGAGATAACAATAACAACCCATCTGGTAAATCAATAAATTAACCATAAACGTTATTATCTTAAATCAATATTTGATTTGATGCTATTTCTTAACATACAAAAGTCACCTTTTAGTGGGGAATGCTGCAAAAGATGAAAACAAAATTTATTCTTCTGCTATTTATAAAAATATTTTTATAAACCTTCCAAAAGGATCGTAAATTAAAATAAAATTATAAAATAAATACCCAAAAATGCACAATACACATCGCCCCAAATTCAAAACGAAGTCTAATCTATTATGGCAGGTATGCTAGAATATATATCAAAAAAATAAAACAAAAGTGCGACGTCTTTTTTTGACTAAAGGCTGATAAGACAAAAGATGCATCAGGTTAAACTTGAAAATTTAAGAAAATTTAATAGAAATCATTAATTTACAATGTCTTTCTGCTGAGCTTAATTAATTTTATTTTAAATCAACTTAATGAATTAAATAAATATTGTTATCATTTCAATTTTTTTAATTTATCTAATGCATTGTATTTTTTTAGGCGTTTTAACTTATCCTGTAAATATTCAGGCTATACACTTAAGAGACTTTTAGAAAGAGGTAGACTCGTCATTTAGAATCTCCTTTTTCTCAAAGCGTTAATGTTACATTATCATAATCTATAAAGTATTAATAACCATAGATCTACTAAATAAGTATCTATGGTCAGTAGGTACTAATATAATGAATGCTAAAAATTGTATTGATTTTGCAATTTTAGTGTTTAAAAAAATAAAAATAGTGATAATTCTTTTAATTTGAAATTATGGCTGAAAAACTTATATCAAAATTTAAATCACCAATCAAGTGTACTTTAAACACCTACAAATCTTCAAGAATTTTTATGCGATGCCAAATTGCAATATGATTGTGAAAAGGACTACAATTGGAGTTCTTTAAAAAAGAATTTTTATGAAACTATTGTAGATCGTTTTTTAGATGTATTTATACAAAATGATTATATTCTATCATGTTTTAATACATTGCCCCCCCCCCCAAAAAAAAAAAATCTGATTATTTTATAGATAAAAGGGTCCCATTAGAATCATTATCTAAGTGGTGGTATTACATCATGAAATGAAATAGCAAGAGGATTATTAGCTGCAGAAGTTAAAGAAAGAAACACATAATTTAAAAATATCGTAAATATTATTATGTATAAAAAATTATCATCTTGCGAAAGAATTGTAATGCTACTCAACAGTCATCAATTGGAATATCAACAGCTTCATGTGAGAACTCGTTCTCTTCACTAAAAAGAGTTTTAAGCACTAGAGAATCGATAAAGGATCGTAGTATTTAGTATTTCAAAGGCCTATAAAAAAATAATACAAAATTTAGCATATAATTCATTTATGTTAAAATTTAAAAATAAAAATCATCTTATTATATTGTATATATTCATATTATAGTATTATTTTGTATTAGTATTTACATTTAAATTTTTTTTATAAAAATAGCAAAAAATTTCTATGAGTGCCTAACTATTTGTTTTATTTCAAAAATATATTGACCAAATAAGCAGTTGCCCCCCCCATCCCCCCAGTAAGAATTTCCTAGCTACGGCTTACACCTGCAATATTAGAAAGAAGCAAACCAAACTCATGAATATTATTGGTTATATAACTGATTTTTTATGTCAATTTGATGATAAAAAATGAAAATATTTAACTATTTTTGCATTCTTCACTCTTTCCTGAATTTAAAGTAGCATTTTTAAAAGGCTCGATTAATCCGATTCCAAATTAAGATTTTAGCCAAAATAATATTATTATGCAGGCCTCGAGATTTGGTCAGCAGATATCCAAATCTTTTGCCATCTAGGAACAAAATCTTCAGGCTTGCATAATATTTTTTGTCTAAAATATTGGGTCGGCGGCTTTGAAATATCGAGTCGTTTAACAATCACTAATGTAAAGGGGGCAGGCTAATTTTAATTTTCTTTTCTTTCTTTTTGGTAATTTTGATAGATTTCTGTTTTATCACCAATTTTGATTTGAATTTTCTTATTTTTATATAGATAGATAATAAATACAAGCGAATAAAATCTGTTTTGGTTTAAGGAGTTGTAGAAGTGCTTGAAACTAATAAATGAGAACAAAACTTCAAATAATTACATATAATTTTAATGTTATTCCTTTGAAAGCACTAAATAATTTATATATTTAACAATGGTATTTATTTCAATTTCAATCCTTTTGAGAGAGAGATTAGATAAATCTTCATTTACAAATAAGTTACTTTTTAAGTTGTGTTCTTTGACATTTTTTGTAATTATAAATTTTAAGTTGAAAAAAGATTCGTTTCAAAGAACAATTTAAAAACAAGTTTTGCTTTCAACAACCTAATAGCAATTCATAAATCAAAGTTTAGTTTAATTTGAATCATAAATGATTTTATTTCCCTCGTTTAGATTTACTATGCCAAAATAAATATATTCTCGTCACTTGTAATAACTCCTTTATCTTTATATATGCTCTGCTCATAATTAATTAATCCATTGGAATATATTCTTTTAGGTGAAAGCTGAAGCTATTTTATTTCAAATGCAGAATAAATCTAATATTCATTTCTATCAATAGTGTTGTTGGGGAGGGGGGGGGGGGTAGTCCCTAAAAAATTTTGTGGGTAAATTTTCCACAATTATCGATATATTAATTTTAGATTCATTTTCCCTCGTTTAAGGCTAATTTTGCATTGCTATTTTTTGATTTATTTTGCTAATTTAGGGCTTACTTATTTATTTTTTCGCCAATTTTGAATTTAGATTTACTTATATTTCTAATTTTAGACTTACCTTTTTTATTGATTTGAATTTATCTTTTTTTTAAGCTTTTTCAGTTTAACAAAGTTACTGATTTACATGTTTCAATAGATAAAATGCTCAAAATTTTCTATCAATTTAACGCTTACCCTTTGAAATACAGTATAAGGAGGAGGAAACCCAACCAAACTTTTGGGATGCCATTGATGAAGTCTTTTACACATCGAACTTTAATAAATCTTTAAAACTTTGAAATATTGAAAGGGCAAGAGTATGTGGCTTGAATAAATATTGAGCATTCATTTTTATTTTTTTTCTTCAAATTATATACTATGAGCTTGAACTGCGCTTGAATTTCAAAAGCTCAACGGGGTCTGATATGTAAATAAAAATTGGATTGCACGTAGCACAGCATATGCATAACAAATATTTTATAAATTAAAAAAAATATTAAAATTATTTTGTTGAGTTAATTAAAAAAATTTATTATTTAAGTATGACAAGAAACATTCAAATATGATCATTCAAGATAAGAGGTAGTTATTAAACGGCTTGATTTTTAAAAAAGACTAACCCAATATTTTGGTCAAAAAATAATATGCAAGCCAAGGAGATATCATAATTGAGAAAAAGGTTTGAATATGTATTAATGAAATTTCGAGGTTTGCGTAATATTATTTTGGATTAAATCTAATTCAAAATCAGCTAAATCGAGTTGTTTAACAACACCAACTAAAGGGCGATGTTTTATTGGATATAGAAGGCGACCACTATTAAATTTTTTATTAAATATTCTAGTGGGAGAACATCTGACTAAAGTAGTTAATATAAGAAGGGGTGTCCTAAAATTAAATGAATTTGAAATTTAAAATGTAAAAAAAAGCGGGAAATGTTACTCAAAAAAATTGCATAAAGCAGGAAAAGGTACCGAGGAACATTATAAACTGGTTCGACTAAATTTTTCACTCAAATATCAAAGAATTACATATAAAAATATTCAGCATAAATAACATAGCAAGTCATTACCGCGGGACATTTTCTGATCAATGCAAAAATTATTATATTACCGATAAAATATTATCGTGAATATATAATAGAGAAAACACTACCAAGAATACATTACAGCAAATGTATTGCCGCGAAAATTATTTAGAATCAACGATGGCTGTATACCCCAAGTGTATTTCCGCTAAAACATTACCTAGGACGCGTTTCCCAGCTAAGGCATAATGTAAGACTAGGGTTAGAAAATCAATAGATATAAATACTTTTTTAACTTCACCTAAACTAGCTGTAGACCTAGGTCTTCATTTCCTACTAAAGTTAGTAAATATAAGATATTAGGTGTTAGTAAAAATGAGATATTAGGTTAGTATTAATTAATGCTTAATTTCACTAAGACTAGGTAGGTCTTAAGGCTTGGTAATTACCTGTCGGTATAATCAGATACTTATGACCATCTCATCATTAAAATCACCTATTTAATTTTATTAATTCTTGTTAATACGAGTTAATAAAAATAACGGGGTTTTTTGATTTATGAATCTGGTAACGGGCTAAGACAGATTGCTTACTAGAGTTAGCATATATTTGATATTTTAATCCCCCCCCCCATCGAAAATTATCCTGTTCTCGTAAATATAATTTCCCCTAAACCCCCCCCCTCTCCACCAAGAATGTAAACAAAACAATATAACACCATAAACAATAATTTGAAAGAAAATAAATAAAGGGTAATAATTTTTTAAAATAATGACCTAATTCAAAATTTTTATAAAAGGTGAAAAACTAAAACTATTATTTATAAAAATGTATAATAGCCAAAAGCCTGCAAAAGGTTACCTTAAAAATTCCAATAAAATTTATAGGGGAAAACCAACCTAATAGTGTCCCCCTCCCTTAGAAAAATCCTGGCTATGTCTGCTTGAATTAATAAATATATTGCTTTTATTTCACTGAAAATAAAGGTAAGCTATAGTTTAGATGTTTTTTACCTTCGATACAAACAATTAGGTACCTAGATCTCGCCCGTTAGTAAAATAAAATTGATAATGACTTCTTTTCGCAGTAAATACATTCGTGGCAATGTGTTCACCTTAATGCATTCACGCTAATATATTCGTATTAACATGTATTCTCTTATCAGAACAGAAAGAACTTCGATATGTAAATAAACTTCAGCATTTTTAAAAAAATGATAACATATTAATTTATGGTCAAGCTCTGTAGGATTTCTCCCAAAAAATAAGCTTCCCTAGAGTACACAGCTTTCTACAGAAGAGCTTGATGCAAACGAGATATCACATTTATCAAAAAACAGTCATTTTAAATTTAAAAAACCAGCACATAAAGTTAATAAAATAGGATATATAATATATTTCCTCATTGGGATATGGAATTCATGGGGATGCAATCCCTTAATGTTAAATTATTTACTAAAGACGATCGTTAAATTAGAAAAATAAAATTTGATCGGAGATATATTTAGAGAAAAATCGAATTATTTGAAGAGTAGTTACTCCTAAATAACCTAGGCCATGAGACGCAAATTTTTTAAAAGTTTTTCTTGTTTTAACTTACATCTTAGAATTTTTTTTCAAAGAGAAAAAGGAAGAATATGATGGACATAACGTAAATATTTATTTGGGCCATGGAAGGGTCTATATATTTTGATATCAGTGTCTACTGTGTGGGTTAAGGGCATCTACCCATGTATTAATATTTTTTGTATTATAAATCTCTAAGATTTTTAAAATGTAAACCTCACCCCCTCCTCGAATATATTTGAGCAAAACATTTATGCATATTAAATCAAATAACATTTTTGTAGGCCTAAATGAAATATATAAATGAAACAAGATAATGTATCATAGTCAATTTAATTTTTAAAAAAAGCATTAAAAAATTAATTTGAAATTGTAATTTTTGCAGAATAAAAATACTTAGATTAGAACCCAGAAATAATAGTTATTACAAAAATAACCTCAATTTAAGCAAAAAAACAGTAAACCTAAACAAGGGCAGCAGTACAATGTGGGTTCACAAATTCTGTTTTAATTTAACCCGACAACCTAAATAGTTAATATTCTATTTTTTTTTTAATGAATATATGTCCTTTATATTTTGTGATATAAAATAAAGATACATATAAGTCTGTTTTTTGTTGTATAAATTTATTTTTATTATATAACAAGTGAGTATAACCATATATTTTACATCAAATTAGTATTTTCAAAAAAAAAATTATTTTAAAGGGTCAAAAATTATGAGAAAATTATCATTTTTATATTCAAGGAGTCATCCCATTATTCTTAAAAGATGAAGGAATTAAAAGAATAGTGCAAATAATGAAGAATAGTTATTATAACTGATATACGAGTATCTTCACGCTTATTTACAAAGAGAAAAGAGAAAAAAATGTGTTAATAAAATAAGAAAATAAATAAGTTATAAAACATTTCACGAAACAGAAATAAATGATTTATATCTGGTTTATTACTTTAACAATTTAATAAATACATTTTAAAGGTGGGATATTATAGTAGGCAAATGAATGCATAAAGAATTAATTAGAGAGGGTGGAAAATAACGACGATTTTAATACAGTGATTCCATATTGTTAGTTTTTGGCTTTTTAAGTTTTTCTATGTTCTTCAAAATCAGATCGTGTAAACTTGACTTTTAGATAAATAAATAAATAAAATTATAATTATATCAAAACAAAAATTTTAATGTTGTTTTCCAACCCCTACTTTTAACTTTAGTATTTCCCTTCTTTTATTACCTTTTCCCCCTATCACCCCCCCCCCAGCTTATATTGTATATGCAATAAAATATCTAAAAAAAATACATAATTATTCCTCAATTCCGCGCAAATCAACTTAATAGTCAGGTATTGCTTTTCGTCCAATTCGAGTACGGATCTCTGGTAATCCTCTATGTTCGGGTACTTAGCTATTTTTGAGACCAGTTTAGCCCGGGTTAAGTAGTACCGGGAAATCTGTTCAAGATATGATGCGGACTCTGTTTCGACTAGTCTTACTTCTGCTAAAGTTTCCTCCTGAGAAAAATTCAAATAAAAAAAATTAAATTGTTTTTGTAAATTTCTTTGCAACTCTGGACGGTTGAAAATAATATTATATAAGATATTTATCAGATACCTGCAAGCCAGACTCTAAGCCCGGGTACAAAAGCTGGATTTTTTATATTTTAAATATACCCGTGGTGAGCCAAAAAATTATTTTTTAAATACTCAGTCTGAGCTGTATATTATAAAACCAAATATTTTATTTCATTATTAGCTATAAAAATTAAATTTTAAAAAATTAGGGTTGGGCATGAATATTTTTTAAAAAAAAATCTGGACTGGGTTTAAGAATAAACCCCAGGCCAGGCCAAAAAAATTTTTAAATATCCAGGCCAGGCCATGCAAATGGTAGCTCTGCAGGTATTTATATTATATAAAGAAAAAAATATAATCGATATAAAATAAAATGACTTGAATGGAGACTCCAAAGTTATTACCATCTTCGATTCTGGGTATCATGAACAATATCCACATTTTGACCTGTTTTTTAAATAATAATAATAAATGACTTCTTTGTTAATATATTGTATATGAATTTAACTGATAATTCAAGTGTATTTGGTAAAGCCACCACCTTAAAATAGCTATATCAATAAGAAGAGTTTTTTCTAAAATTAGCAATTGATTGTGCTTAAATATTTATATATGGCCCTGTGTGGCCAAAAAAGATAGGCTAGATGAAAAGCTCATCGCTTTAACATAACTACCTGGGTTATCTATAGACCCAGAGATACTATTAGGTCAATTAGAGAGTAAAAATTTTTTAATGCAATATTAAATTATGAAGTATGATATATTTATGAAGATGTCAAACTAGGTAGGGTTTGTAAAATGTTGTACTTCCAATTCCAGCAATTTGTTGACAAATTTTTTTAAAAAATAAAATGGGCAGTTTTCGAAATATTTTGGCTAACTTCATCATATTTACCATTTGTAAAATGTCATTCGGGATATAATAACTCTGGTGTGAGCATATGTTTTATTAATTTCAAGTCACTGATAAATCATAGCTACCTGAAGAAGAGCCCCAAATAGAGAGTGACAAATTACTCAGAAACAAATGACATGTAAAGATTAAGGGAAAAATATTCATCAAAATATCATACTAAGTAAATAAATACTGAAATCACCCAGAACTAGGGTCATATTTATTATATCTTCACTGTTAAAAATCTTTTACTTTTGGGAAAAAAGAGAAAATGGGAACTTACAACAGTTTTAACCAGAAAACTATTGAGCCCCAGCTATAGGTAAACCCAGTGAATACATATTTTCAATAGTCAGACTCAATTTAAACTTAATAAAATGCTCATTATATCCTACAAATTTAGGTAAATTATTTTTATGCATAATTATAATAAATAATCTATAAATATATAACTTATATAAAAATTCTAATCTAAGATGCCACAGGTGCTGTAACTCTAACACTAATGACTCTTCAAAACTCAGTAAATAATAAGGAATAAAGAATGTCTATTTTTTCTATGCGATACCATGATTTAATATTGTATATAACCTTTTGACTCAGTAACAGAAGATGAGATGGCTTTATGAAAATGGATCAGAATTTAATCATATTGGTGTGATAAACATACATGAGAATATTAGTGAAGAGATTACTCCCCATATCAGGTATGTGATAAAAATGGCAATGCCATCAAATATAATAACCTGATTTCTCCATGATTTGTTACATAATATTTAAATATCAGGCATGTACAAAGTGGGCAGATGCCAGTTAATATATTTTTTAAAAAATATTACTGATTTCTACATCTTATCACATCCTTGGAATAATATTTATCTATCATTTTAAAAAATTTCAAATCATTTAAAGCTTCTTCACTGCAAAACTAGAGTAAAATATTTTTTAAACAAATTTCAAAAATTATATTATTGTTGAATTAAAGGCAGAGCTCTATGAATTCAATATTTATCTACCTCAACTAGCAGCAAGGCAAGCTCATTGTTCCAATGTTAATATAAGGTGAGCTGGAGAATTCTATAAAATACATATCTATCCCCCTTGTTTTATAACTAAGGTGAGGTTCTTAATTAATAAGGCAGCACTTACAAATTTGCAAATATTATTACAGCAGAATCCTTCCAAATCCATTACAAATCTTGATAAAGAAAAAAATTAAATATTTAGCAAATTTTTATTGTGAGGATGTTAAAGTATCCCATGATGCATTACTACTGAATGCAAACTATAGAAGAGGTTAATTACAGTTGATAAAGTTCCAAAATGTAAAATAGATCCTTTGCATAATTTAAACACATTTTAAACTATTTCCCAAATATATTAAAATTTATATTTCAGCAGTCATATGTATTGAATCTAATTTTTTCAACAATTCTAATATTAGACTGGATCAAATTTTATTTATTTATCTATCTTATAACTATATTAACTAACTCTATAATATATAGATATAAATAAAGTTATTTAATAAAAAAGATAAATACATCTCATGAAAATTATATAAATATTTTATTCACCAGCAAATTTAAAGAGAGAGAAAATGGAATATCATATAAAAAAAATTGTACAAAGTTTTGCATTGATTTATTCCTAAGTTTGAATAAAGAGTAATATTTTATAACTAAGTTTGTGTCCTCAACCATTTCACACATGTAAGGCTTGAGTATTTCAAAAAGCTTGATAATGTTTTGATTTGAGGGAAACATACCATTAGGAAATAACATTACTTTTTTATCTATAGTCATAATATTTCCTAAGTTAATTTTCTTAATATGTACCTTCATCATAACTAATAATTTGGTCAGTTAAATTTTCATTTTCAATCGTTTTTCTTTTCTTGTTAATAATAGGGATACCATTAACAATTTTCTTAAAAGGTTGATAATATATAAACTCAATAATTTAAATACATCTATTACTCCATTTTGATGTGTAGGAACAGGTATATTCATAATATAATGTATCTTTTTAAAATCACGTTCAGTGAACTCTGGTGACTATATTTGTCAAACAATATAAAGAAAATAAGGATAATCATTTATTTATACATTTAGAAGTTTGTCCATTTCTAATACTTTTTTAGGAAAATTTTCTGTAACCAATTTTTCAGCCTATATATCGTATCATGCATAATAAATTGTGTTTAAAATAATAACCTTTTCTTTAATCCTCTCTTTAAAATCTTCAACCTTATACATTATTTATTATTATAAAGACTAAGTAAACTCACTTTGTTATGCATTAATGCCATTTGAAATCGATTTCAAAAAAATAGATCATATTTCAATAGAATACGAGTCTAACACGAAAATGAAAAGGGTACATATGTCATCTTTCATAAGACTTGACAGATTTAATTACGTATGTCAAATATTATATATATCGGTCTATGGGCGGGGTTTGGCCCGCCGCTAATGCCTACCCATCTAAGTGGGCGGGCGGGCAAAAAAATTTAAGAACGGGCGAGCGGGTTAAAAAAATTTTAATATGCGGTTGGGTGGGCGGGTTAAAGATTTAAACAATGGGCAGGCGGGTTAAAAAAAAAATTTAAAACATTTAAGTAAATATAAAAATTGTTTTTTGGATATTAAAAATTAAAATGTCCTTTTTTCTTAAAATAAATAAACTTTTTTGTATATTTAAAACTGCTTTAGTAGAAACGACATGAAAGAGATGATTTGCCAAAACTAGCAAGATTAACAAGAAAAATATTGGCAATTTCTGCAACTAGTATTTCTTCTGAACGAGGATTTAGCATTTCTGAAAGGATTTTAGAACAAAGAAGAACGTGTTTGAATCCAGAAAATGTCGATTCATTATTATTTTTGCATTATAATTACTTATAATATCAATTTATATTTATATTTTTTTCATAAATATTTAAATTATCCATAATTTAAATTGAATATTTTTTTATGCTTAACATATTAATTTTCTAAATCTTTTTGTAGAGATGTAATGCTGAAATTTTTTTTTATTAGATGCTTAAAAAATTGAAAGAATGGCCATAATTAAATTTAATAATAGCGGGCTTGGGTTAAAAAATTTTTATAAATAATGGCTGGGCAGGTAAAAAATTTTAGACTAATGGGCGGGTGGGCGGGTAAGGAATTTATTTTTTTGAAAACTATGGATGGGCTAGGTGGGAGGGTTAAATTTTTTTTAAACATTTGTAGGGCGGGCTTATGGTCTAAAACCCGTCCAATTCGGACCTCTAATATATAATATATATAAATGATAAAAATACTAGAATAATAATAATTACCTCCATGTATTTTTGCCATTCACAATGGCTTACGTTAGGTTTAAAATCTTTAATTATATCCTTCATTTTTAATTTGAGCCTAAGTTAAACTCAAATTTTTAGTCTCGCTCCTTTTCTGATCTAATATATCCCATATCTCTCATTTCCTCGTGATCAAATCAAAGTAATCAACTTTTTTTATCTTAGCCTAAACACCTAAGCAACTTTGAATACTGCAATTAATGTTTAACACTGAAGATTTTTACATTGTTACTACAAGAAATTCAGTCTATGTTTTAACTTGGTTTTTTAGCAACCTTACTTTTCATATTACTGTATTTTAAGCATTTTAGGACAGTTTTTAAGAAATAAACTTTTAATCTTGGTAATAATTTAGGCTTTGATACAAGATCTTGCAAATTATTTTGGCTTAATACTGTATTCTAAATATTAAATAGATAAAGATTAAAATTTTCTCTGAATAATTTCTATATCAAATACTTGGACATCTTTATCAATATAACTTTGTACCAGACAAAAGATCCTAAATTCGGATATTATCTTTTTCAAAGACTTACAATTTAGGTCATCAAATCAAATTTCCATTGCCTGATGAATTTATACCCCTTTTAATTTTGTTTCAATTGTAATATAATGTCACCTAATTTGTTATTTCCTATGGATGTTTAATATATACATGTCAAAGTTATTGCATTTTGTGGAAAAAACTTACATTTAATTATATATTTTGCATTGTTATTTATTTGCAACTATTTAATAAAAAGTGTTTTTTTGATTACATTTTATAAGTGATTGATTTGTAACAGTGACGAAGCGTCAAGTTTACTACTAGGGAAGCAATCAAAAAAAAAATTTTATTTTTATTTTAGTCAAACTCAAACCATAAAAATATTAAGATTTACAAATAAGTGGTATTCGTCTTTGTTTTTGAGTAAAATGATCAAGTACTGCATTATAAAAGTTATCGCTAGATTTTAAATTTTTTAATAATTTTTTTTCATCGAAATCAAAGATAGATTCGATAATTGATTTTGGGTCATCCTGTTTCTGCAATAAGATTTGATTCTTTTTAAAGATGAAAAACTCCGTTCTGCACATGCTGTTAAAGCCAAAGTTAAGATGAATTTGCATAATTTAAAAAACTTTAAAACTTTTCATCAAATTGGTGCATATTAAAAATTCAAGTATTTCATTAACATTCTTTTTCTTTCTAAATTGAACATCCCAAAACACTACCTTTAATTAGGTTTCCAGCTTGTGTAAGTCTAAAAATTGAGAATAAGTTCATTTAAATTATCTAATAACTATTTTGGGTAATTGATTATTTGGGAATTTACTAATATCTAACAATTCGGCGAATTTAATATTTTTTGGTGTAAGACATATGGAATAGAATTAATCAAATCATTTTGAATATTGCTTAATAGTCCAATAAAAACTGCACTATTTCTAAATGATGTTTCAATAGTAAATTTTCTTCCGCGAGCAAATAAATTAATACAATATAATTTCCTCTTCATCATCACCATGGAATACGAGCTCCTGAATTCCAAGAAAACTTATAGTATTTGATTTGACTTTAGAATTATGCTGTTAAATTGATATTTTGCGCATCGAATTTATCATATTTTCAATACGATTTTGGCCGAATGTTTTTAATATAATCATCGACTGCAAATGAGTGGTTGATTCTTTGCCGTTTAACTGCCTTTGAAAAATTATTCATATCCGAAAATCCTTTATCATTCCAAACATATTTTTGCTTTGGGAATAATAGGCATGACCAACAATATAGAGAATTAGAAAATTTACATCTAGTGAGCCATTAATATTTTTCATATTTATCGATAGAAAAATTATGGATGCAAGTTTTGATTTCTTTTTTCAAGTTTTATAAAATTGGTTTTGGTCTTCCTTTTTCAATAATCAATTTTTTCGCATCAAAATTACTTGAGCTAAATGTTGTTAATAAATTTTCAATAATACAACTACAATTATTAAACATTAATTAAGGATTTTAAAAACGAAAATTTTTTTATAATAAAATAAGGAAAAAAAATATTATACAAAAAAATTTCTTTCTCTTTTATTTATTAAAAAATTAAGCATTTTTTTATTTGCTTCCCCAATGCTTATTTTTTAAAGATAAAATTATACAATACCATGGCATGATTTTCTCTTTATTTATTAAAAAAAATAAGCAATATTAAATTTGCTTCCCTCATGTTTATATTTTTTTATCGTAGTAAAAATAATAGTAAATTTTTAACGTAGTAAAAATAATAGTAACATTTTTAACGTGGTAAAAATAATAGTATTTCTTACTATAGTAAAAATAATATCAATTTTTTAGCGTTATAAAAATTATATTCTTTTTAACGTTATAAAAATTATATTAATATTTTTAACGTTATAAAAATTATATTAATCTTTTTAATAAAAATTATATTATTTTTAACGTTATAAAAATTATATTAATCTTTTTAACGTTATAAGAATCAATTTTTTTAACGAAGTCAGATTAGTTTATTTAGCATAGTACAAAGATTATATTAAGTTTATTCAAAATTTTTGTAAGAAAAATTTCAAGGGAAGCAATGCTTCCCTTGCTTCTATGGACGCTTCGTCACTGATTTGTAATTAATTTAAGGAAGAAGACTGCTAAAATTGATTCACACTATTGTTAAAATATTTTATATAAATCAGAGACCTGCAAAGGTACCATTTAATTGCGATTTAAAATATTTGATTTTAGAATATATGGCCTTGGCCCAGATATTTTTTTAAAAAAGATTTTCAGACCCGGCCCAAGTTTATTTAAAAAATTTAACATACGGCCAGGCCGGGCTTAGGGCCGGGCCTGCCTTTGAAATAAATATTAACTAAAATTACAATGATCATTTATTAGCTTTTACAAAACCTATTTTTTTTAAATTAATCTTAACATCATTTTGATTATAAAAGTAAAATAACTAGTTTTTTTTTAATTTCTCTTATAATAATGGATGTCAAAATAGAAGATGATAGTACCTTTTCATACTTCATAATTTTAGTTTAGGTTTATATTATATTGCTTAAATTTTCTATAGATATATATAAAGATTAAGGTTTCCTCTATACTTTTCGATACATTATTTAAAGAAATTTGGTTTTAGAAATTTAATATATATAAGAAACCCCAAAATATATATTTAAATTATCTTATCAAATTGTATTAATAACTAAAAAGAAATATAAAATTTTAAAACTGATTCTTAGATCCAAAATAAATAAAAGATTAACGGCTAAAAATAAATCCTGTAAAATGTATTAAATATTTTGAACAATATATCGTCGGCTTAGAATTGGAGTGCTCCACTTGTGCAAATGTTTAAAATGAGAAAATCAACATTAAAGTTTAAAATCAAATATAGGAAAAGCTTATTGATCAATTTTGACAGTGCTTTAACTTTGGCAAAAATTAATTTTGTGGTTGAAAACTAATGAAATATACTAGTGATGACTAACGATAACTATCAAGATAAACAAAGGACAAACGAACATAAATAATGAAGAAACCGGTAAGCAAGACAAACGTTAAGATGATAGACAGAGGGCGGAAACTTTAAAAAAAAAGAGTGATATGCTAAGTAGTTGTAATTGTTTTCTTTATAATTCTCCTTTAAACTACTTGTTTTTTTTTGATAATGACATTCAAAATTTAAATTGTTTTTCTTTTTTTTGAACTACACTAATTCTAATTGAGAATGACATTATATTAGTTACAAATTTTATTATAAAAAGATCGAATTTCATTTTATAATTTTTGAGTGAAAAATAAAATTGATTCGTAATAAAAAAAATAATTCTCGTAATTTCGCCAATCTCAGAAATAAACGATTGGGTATAAATAAGTTATTATTTACTTCTAACTCAAAAATTTTGAAAATGTCAAGTGGAGCACTCCAATTCTAGACCGACGATATATGATTTAATTATTCTAAACAGGTTATGGACTCTATAAATTTTAAGCTGGCTATGTTTCCCATATTTGTTCCGATTCTGAGTGTTTAAATACTCTTTTTCTCTGGCATAAAATTAAAACAAATTTTAAAAAATGATGGCGCGGATAACAAATAAAGCTAAATTAAAAAAACTAACCTTATTAACACAACCTAGCCCTAAACCTAGCTCCGATGTTAATATACTTCTTTAAATATTATCCAACATTTATTTGGGATGTTGATCCAAAGAATGATTGGTATAAACTTTCTTGGTTAAACACGGCATTTGCAACCATTATTTTTACAACTATATTATACTATGTATCAGCCCCTAGAATCCAAAACATTAAATTTTTAAATAATTTTTATTGACAAATAAAGATAATATATATTTTTTTTTAAATATAAAACACGAATATAATTTATAATATTAATATAATATAATTAATTATATATATATATATATATTTCTTTTTAAATTATTAATGATTTACAAATTCACTTTTTAAAAAAAATGCTATATACTTTGAATTAAATTAGAATGATAAAAATATGAGGTAAAAATCATAAAAAGAATTTCCAAAAAATTATAAAAGTTTATTTAAAAAAAATGTTATCATATTAAAAAGAGATGTATACATTATTGATTTCTAGGTAAACATTTTTTGATGTCGTTTAAAAGTTTAAAAATTAAATGACTTATAAAAATATGAGAAAATAAAAAATATTAAAAAGGAATACAATTTATTACTTATGGCAGGTAGCAACTATAATGAAAATAAATTGGAATGTTTAATTAAAATGACTTTTTTTAAAAAATCAGCTTATCATGAACTAATTTTAAAATGAATGATAAAATAAAAATAATTTGTAAAATAATTTTAAAAAATTATTACACAAAAAATATTTATTTTTTTTTAAAAAAAAAATATATGCTGTAAATGCATGTCGTCTTTTAGGTTTTTTTTTAAAAAAAAATACTTCCTTCATTCAACAAAATCTCTAAAAGAAATTTTTAGCAAATTGTTGCGGAGTTTAAAAAAAAGACTGAAATAAATGCTTATTAATTGATGCGAAGATTGATGATTGATTTTGGGTTAACATTTAAGTAATAATTACATGGAAAAGTATTTTTTTAAAAATAGAAAGATGAATATAAAAAAAATGCTTGTAATATAATACAAAAAAGAAAAAAGAGTTCGAAGGATTAACGTTAATAATGCTGCGAAGAAGCGTTCAGGTCATGTCTAGTCATTTTGTTATGATGAGTCTTATCTGTAACCAGTGCTGGCCTCCCAAAGGAGTAATACTCCGGCAACTAGAAGTAACAAAGATCCTGCGAGCGCAATATAAAAGGCCCAACCTACCCCGGAGTGAATAATGAACGCGGGGTCAATTTGAAAAAAGGCGTTACGATCTAACCTTACCTTAGCTATGAATACGCATATGCCTATCAGTTCGAATATGGCTTAAAAATAAAATTAAAAATCATGAAAGGAAAATTAAAATATTCAAGATTAATTTCCAAAAAAAATCTATATTGCTTTTACATTAAAAAAAATATTTTTTTTACCAGCGAGGAAAATTAAAAGTCCTGCTATTTTACCGATATGTTGACCGAATTTGGTGTAGTAAGTGCAAAGGTATATGATGGCCAGCACAAATCCGAGTAAATTAAGAGCAAATCCTAGTCCAACCAGTACTTGCACACTTATAAACCAAGCTTTTATTTTTTAAAAAAAATTTAAGATTAAAAGGAATAATCTAATAATAATGGATGATAAAAACCAGAAGTAAAAAGTCAGTAAACCTATAAAAATATAAATCAAATAATTATGTTATTTTTATTGATTCCCAAATTAATATTCGTACGAATATAGTCATTATTCGATTTGTCGAATCGCAGGCATATTCATGATTTCGCTAGGGTAAGGGTATAGGTTATTAAACAGGGTTTTCCGTCATAAATTTCATTAAAGGTTTTTAGGTCTACTTATTGAACGATACTTTTTTTCCATTATTCATAATAATTGTGTTTGTTAAATACGAATAGAATCAAATAAAAATTATTTATTTTAAGCTAGGTCTTTAATTAAAGTATAGTAAGATAAGAGGTATATTACATTATCGAAATAAGATTCAAAAAGTAGTAATTTTCTCTCTATATTATATTTTTAAAAGCTCGGATGGATACAAAGAATAGAGTAGTAAGAAATACGCGATTGCCGTTTGTCTCATATTATAATAATATCATACTCACAACATATAAATTTTTTATATTTTTTTATAAAATAATATTTATAAATTAGTAGATGATATCGATAATGCATTTGATTTATGTGTAAAAAAAATAATATAAAATGGAGTGCAAATTATTGTAAAATTAAAAATATTCTTCTTTTTCCCATGGCCGGAAAAATAATTTTAAAATTAATTAAACAAGAGAATAATACTTTTTTGCTTTATTTTTTTTATTACTAGTATATTATTGTCGGTAGTGATCTGCATCAGGCCTATTTTTCAAGCCCATCACGAAATTTTTAAAAAATTTGTTCTGCAGGGATTGATGGTGAAAGAAATTTTTTTTATTTGCCCCGAAAGGCCCGACCCGAAATAATTCTAAAAATTATTTGTCCACCGGCCTGGTCCAAATTTATTTAAATATAGAAAAAATTAATTTTTTCTAAAAATAAAAAAAATATATTGGCACCAATTTTCTTACAAGAAATTTCAAATTAAATTTATTTGACAAAATGTAATAATATCAAATTAAGCCTGGCCAGCTCGAAATTTTTTAAAAAATATTAGGCCCGACTCAGCCAGAACCGAAATTATTCTTATAAATAGACCAGGGAGGGCTAAGACTGGGCCGTGATTTGCAGATCTATAATTGTCAGTGTTTAATTTATCAATTTTATTTAGTATAATTTTATGAAATTTCTTCCATATCCTAATTCACAAATACAATTGAGATATTATTAATTCAATCGTCAATATTATGGTAGCTCAGAAAATTAAAAAGGCTAAGAAAGTAAGCCTGAAATCAACAATAAATAAGTATTGACTTAAATATAATAATTAAAATTCATAATGCTTGAAAAAAAAATTTTTTAATATTCATTTATTTTATATAAAAAAATTATATGTAAAATTGTGTTTGTTGTTGTAAAATTTAATAAGTAAAATGAGTAAGAAGCCAGATTTCTTCGAAAAGCGATGAGAATTTTTGCACACATTCTCTCCCCAGTATTAGGATTTTACATTATGATTCAAGGACTTAATGTGGATAGAGGATGTAAAAGTGATCTTCCTCTTATTAATGCATGGGCATTCCCAATTTGCAATATACCTAAAAAAAGTATTTCATTCTTTCTATCTATCTTTCTATCCTCTTAATTTCTCTCCTTTATATTTTCACATTACTAAATAATAAATAAAAAATGTCCTTGGAATTTTTTTTTTTTGGTATTACAAAATTTTTTTTTATTATATAAATCAATAATACCAAGTCAGGTATAAGGTATAATAACTTTATACACTTTATAATTGTATTTTTTTTTACAAATTGTAATAATTTATTACCTAGCTAAAAAAAATGTTATTTTATTTTACAAAAATATCGATTACATAATCTTAAATTTGATTTTCCAAAAAAAAGAAAAGAAATATTTTGGTACACAATGAAATTTCCAATGGTGATGACCACTTCGTGATGATCATCTCTTATCCTGGAGATTTTAAGTTGGCGAATCCCTGTCAAAATCAAATTAAAATGTTCTACAGTTCAACAAATAACTCTCAATGGTTTTCAGTCCTTGAATCTAGATTAGAGGTCTGCATTGGGCGGGGTTTCGACCCGCCCGCCCATCTAAGTGGGCGGGCGGATGGGTGGGTAAAAAAATTTTCGAGAATGGGCAGGCAGGTTAAAAAAAATTTGAAACTATGGGCGGGCTGGGCGGCTGGTTAAGAAATTTAAAAATTTTTGTTAAAAAACAAACTAAAAAAAATAATTGTTTAAATGATCTATAACAATATTTCTTTTTTTATTGTACCAATCGTTTTTTTTAAGTGAAGAACATTTACCTAACTATATTATGTAATAAATACAACAATAAAACTTTTTTCTTAGAATAAATAAACATTTTTGAATTTTTTTCATAAATATTCAATTTGGTCAAATAAATTGTCTATAATTTACATTAATTATTTTTATACTTATATTTATTTACTAAATTATAAACTTTTTGTAGAGGTGTAATGCTGAAATATTTTTATTAGAAAAAAAATGAAAGAATGACCATAATTAAATTTTATAAGCGGGCTTGGGTTAAAAAATTTTTATAAATATTGGGCGAGAGGGTAAAAATTTTTAATAAATAATGGGCGGGCGGGTAAGGAATTGTAGACAAATGAGAGGGGCGGGCGGGTATATATTTTTTTGAAAACTATGGGCGGGCGGGTTAAATTTTTTTAAAACATTGGATGGGCGGGTTTTTAGACCTCTAATCTATATCATCTACCATGATGATAACAAACAGAATTTTGAATTAGACTTAATTTTTTTCGATCAAAGCATGAAAATTACAAAAGATTTTCTTACATCTGAATAAGAATTCTGCTTGAGCATTCATCTTCATTTTTAAAAATAATCTTCTGCATATAAATCACAAAAGATTTACTTATAATAAATATGGAATTTTAGGCAAAATTTTATCAAAAATCCTGTTGGAGCATTCTCCCAAAATCTTTCTTTCTTTAGTTTAAACATTTTAACGTAAACCAAAAACCTAGAAATCTTTTTAAAAAAGTAGCCGAGTGCCAATAAAACTTTGTTAAATTATCTTTTAGAAAATTTATTCGAAATTATATTATTTTAATGCGAAAATTAAATTACCAATAAATAAATATTTAAATCTGTATAACGAATAATTTAGGAATTAAAGCGTATTATATATTATTATTTATTTTTTTAATCGTTATTCCCCTATGAAACCATCACCCTTATCTGAACAATTTCACTAGTGCCTTTATAGTTGGTTATTTTTGCGAGTTTCTATTATTCATTCAATTTTTGAAAATATATTTTGTAAATACTCTATTATAAAAATAAATATATTTAAATATATTAATTCAAAATCAATGATGCACTGATTTGCCGATAACAATAGGTTATCAGTCGATACCATCAATATACCAAAATTATTTTAAGATTTGCCAAAATTTATTTGTGGCAGATTTATTTAATTACTTTAATTTATTTATTATAAAATTTAAATGTACCAATATTCTTAAAAACACCAAAGAAAACCCTTTGTCCTATAACTTTATAAAAAATATGATTTATTGAGAAATCGATAATATATTTTTATTTAAATGTACCAATATCTTAAAACACTTATAAAAGAAATTTGAAATCTATAATTATGAATTTAAATTTTGAGATTATTTGTAAAAGTTTAGGTTCAGTCATAAATCATCACTTACGATAGTGATTCTACAACAGATTTTGTCTATTTGTAGAATCCCTACCATAGTATTTTTAGCTAATAGTGATTTCACAATACTACACCGGATTTTCTATGAAGATATTTTTGGATTTTTAATTTAAGCAATAAAAATGCTTTTCAATTTTAATATTTTGTTAGTTGTCGAAATGTTATTTTCTTGTAATTTATCTTCGTAATAAAGTTAATTCTACAACAAAATTTTAAACGCTTATTTTTTATTATTAAATAGATTTTATCAAATAGTATGATGGGGACTAATATATTACTTATAAGCGCTTTCTCTTTATTTCTTTCTTGGCTGGTTAGAAATTTGTAGATCAATTATTATCTTTTTCTTACAAATTGATGGCTAATCATTTTTAATTTATAAAAATTACTTATTGTTTTGGGTATTGGTCACTGGTATCGGTTAAAATTGTTAGATAAACAGATATATTGAGTATTGGTGCATATCTGATTCAAATAAAGAAAGAAATAATTGAGCAGGAAAAAATGAAAAAGGTTTAAGTTATAAGTTCAAAGGTTGATTTATGAATATTAAAAAAAAAAATTTTAATGTATTTGCGTGTAAAAAGATTATTTAAAAAAAATTGTTCTATGATTTTGAAGGCTGAAGATAAAGGGGAAAACAGGTGTAATTAATTTTAAAATATATTATTATAAAATTTAGCTCCCTTTTATTATAGCAATTAAGAAAATAAAAAGATGGAAAAGAAAGAAGAAGAAAAAGAAAAAAAGAGAAATTTTGTTTTAAAAATTGCATAATGGCATTGGTTAGGGTCATATAACCTAGCCATGCGTTAAAATATCGAAAATTTATGATTTTTTTAAAAAAAAACATAAAAGTTTATATTTTTTTAAACCAAGGTTGTTAAAATAAGTTTCTTTTAAAAAAATATATATGCAGATCTAAGCATTATAAACTGGAGATCTGCATAACCATTATATTCAGATAAAAATATATATATGAAGGTCTAAACATTATAAATTGGAGATCTGCATGGGCATGATATTCAGACCGGGCCGGGATTTTTTTTCGTGAGTATATAAGAAAAATTACTGATTCTTCCTACACAAAAAATAATTACGGGCCAGGCTAACCAAAAAATTTCGATCCAGATAATTTGTGTAAAATGTTTTTCGGGTCAGAACAAAAAATAACCTTTTTAAAAATCTTCACAGGCCCGTTCGGGTCGTACTAAATAATAAATTTTTA